TATTAGTGTATATATGTCAATCCCAATCTGACTGAACTCTTGAGAGAAATAGAAAGGCTAACAATTCTATAATCATTGAAATCTAATCATTAGTTAAATTTTCTCACAAAAGAAATACAAATGTCAGACAATTTTATAGGCACCCTCTATCCAATATTCAAGGAAGATATTTAAATCTTTCTCTTCTATTTCAATAGAAAAAAAAAGAGAACAGTCACTAAGTTATTCTATAACATGGACATCAAATCCAGACAAGAGCAACACAAAAATGGAAGATTATAGGCCAATTTTATCACGGTACTAGAAATTTTAGCCAGCAAGCACTATAAGGACACCACTATCATTTATTGTCCACATAAAGGACCCAAGAGGACTTCCCTGGTGGTCCAGTGGTTAAGACTCCATGCTTCCAATGAAGGGGGTGGGTGCAGGTTCCCTCCCTGGTCAGGGAACTAAGATCCCACATGCCACAAAGCATGGCCAAAAAAACAAGAAAACCCTATAAATTTTAAATATAAGACTTTTAGCAAAATGACTGGATATAAGAGGAGTAGTCAAAAATATAACTTCTTAGGTCAGGAAAAAGAAAAAAAATGTTTTAAGGTATCATTTGTAATAGAACATAAAAGATAAAGAAGCTAGGACATACCTGGTGGCACAATGGTTAAGAATCCGCCTGCCAGCGCAGGGGAGATGGGTTCAAGCGCTGGTCCGGGAAGATCCCACATGCTGCGGAGCAACTAAACCCGTGCGCCACAACTACTGAGCCTGCGCTCTAGAGCCCATGAGCCACAACTATTGAAGCCCATGCTCCGCAACAAAGAGAAGCCACTGCAATGAGAAGCCCACGCACCGCATGGAAGAAAAGCCCCCACTCGCCGCAACTAGAGAAAGCCCGCGCGCAGCAACGAAGACCCAACACAGCCAAAAATAAATAAATACATAAAAAAATAAATACATAAATAAACAAGATAAATAACATTACTCTTCTAAAAAAAAAAGGATAAAGAGGCTAGGAGTAAATCTAACAAAAGATGCTCAAAAGCTTTAAAAGGAAACTTCTAAGAACTAAATGGAGGGGTATGCTATCTTTATGAATAGGAAGATTATGAAGATGTTGTTTCCACAAACTAATCTACTGTTTGATTGCAAATGCAGCTGAAGTCCCAACAGAATTTTTTCGGAAACCTAACAAGTTTGTTCCAAAATTGCACAGAAAAAAAGAGCCACACTATTCCTAATGAAACAGATGGCGGGGGGGGGGGCGGTACTGAAATATCAAGACTTCCTATAAAGCCACAGAAATGTAGATGTTTAGTATCAGTGCTGGAATAAACAATGAACCAATGGAGTAGAGAGCCCATGAAACAAAACCCACATATATAAAGAAACTTATATGACAGATCAATGGGGAATAGATGAACCACTCATAATAGATTTTGGACAGTTGGTTACATCCCTAAGTGGAAAAAAAAAAGTGAATTTGAATTCCTATTATCACACCATACACATACACACATACAATTTAATATGGATTAAAGTCAAATGTAAAAAACAAAGCTTTATAACCTTTAGAATATGGGAGAATATCTTTATTAAGGACTTCTTAAACAAAATACAAAAAAGCACAAAACACACAGGGAAAGGCTAATAAATTTGACATTAAACTTAAAAATTTCTGTCTAAAATGCATAACCTAATTTCAATCAAACATCGAGACTTAACTTACAGTTTACAGAAAGTAGAGAGGATGGAGGACACCATGAAGATACCGTCGAATAATTCCAGAATGTGGAATATTCTACAAAGCAACTGGCCTGAACTCTTCAAAAAGTCAATGTCATAAAAAAATTTTTTAAAAACATGTGGTTGGGGTGGATGGATGGGTAGGAAACTCTTTTAGATTAAGAGAATAAAATCACAAAACAACATGCAGTTCATGAAGCTTGGTTGAGTCTGGGTTTAAAAACAAACCAACATATAAAAATGACATCCTTGGGACAATGGGAGAAACTTGAGTTTATACTATATATTACATATTATGAGATTACTGTTTAATTTTTTTCAGTGTGATAATAGTATTGTGGTGATATAGGACACTTGCTTTTTAGAAAATGCACGGTGAAATACTGAAAGGTGAAATATGTTTTCAATTTACTTTCAAATTGTTCAACAAGAAAATGTTACTGTTTAATTTGGATGGAATATATATGGATGTTCGTTATGTTTATGTGTCGCTACACATGTATGAAACTTTTCATATTAAAAAGTTGAGGAAAAAAGTTGGGGGGAATTTACAACTTGTGCCCTCCCAAGGGCATCAATAGGTGAAAAAATAACTACAAACTGAGAGAAAATGTTTACAACATGTAACAGTAAAAATGGACTAGTATCCACAATCTATTTTTTTTAACTCCTTAAGAAAAAGGCAACAACGTAATATAAAATGGGCAAAAGACAGGAAATAAGCTTTTCACAGAGAGCAATCAGGAATGAATATAATATACGTGAAAAGCAGCTCAACCTTGTTAGAATTTAGGAAACGCACATTCAAACAATGAGACTCCCAGTCTGGCCAAAATGGAGTAACAGGGGCAGAATTTCCCTTCCCCATATTAAACAACGAAACACCCGTACAAAATATGTACAATAAAGTTTTTCAGACATTGGACAACTGTGCAGGACAGTGACTCTTGAGAGGAGAACAAACAGGGAAAGTCCTACCATTGCCCAAGCTTAATGCAGGGAGAGCCTGGGCGTTTCCCTGGGTAGAGCATTTAGGGGAGCCAAGGTAAAATCTGTAGGGTAGAGTATTGGAGAGAGGAGCTACAGAGGGAGGATTCCAGATCTACAAAGAGTTCCCCTGAGGCTTCGGCTAATCAGTGTATGCACTTCAGAAAACTACCCCAAGCTGAGAAAGAACCAGAAAAGAATAAGTGGTAAAATTCAAGTTCATACAGGGCTCAGAATGGTTCTCGCTCTCAATAGACAGAGTGGAGAAATCTCATAGTAAACCACGTGTAAGGAAGATTATTCAGAAGGGTATTATCTCAGTAGTGAGCCAAATTAGCCTAGATTAAAGGCTGTTCTGGTCCTATCTCATTAAGTATAAAAGCAAGCTATGAAATGATCAAATTATTTCTAAATAACTATGTCCCAGAACAAAACTCAACATATTAAAAGGAATACAAAAACCTCCAGCACCCAACAGTGTAAAATCCAAAAATTATCAGGCGTGCAAAGAAGGAAATTACAACCCAATAATGAGGGGAAAAAAATCAATCAATAGCAACAGACAAGAAATGACAGATGACAGAATGGTCAAGTATATTGAAACAGTAATGTTCAGTCAGATGTTCCAAAAAATAGAGGAAAGCAGGGGTCTGGAAGGAGAGACAGGGAAGATATAAAAAAGACCCAAATGGAACTTCTAAAGATTAAAAATATAATGTATGAGGTAAAAAATACACTGGATGGGATTAACAAGAGATTAGATACTTCAGGAGAAAACATTAATGAACTTGAGGACATAGCAATGGAAACCAATCTGGAACACAGAAAAATAAATAAATAAATAAAAAGAAAAATAAAACAAAACAGAGCATCAGAGTGCTAAGAGACAGTTTTCAAGTAGCCTAACATACAATTAGAGTCCCAGAGGGAAAGAAATGAAGGACAGAGACAGAAAAAAATAAATGAAAAAGCATCCAAAATTCCAAATTTGATGAAAACCATAAATCTACAGGTAAAGAGCCCCAGCAGAAGAAACATGAAGGGGGAAAAAAAACTACACCAAGCACATCATAATCAAAGTGCTTAACAGCAGTGATCAAGAAAAACCTTAAAAGCAACTAAAGAAAAAGAGGGGCTTCCCTGGTGGCGCAGTGGTTGAGAATCTGCCTGCTAATGCAGGGGACACGGGTTCGAGCCCTGGTCTGGGAAGATCCCACATGCCGCGGAGCAACTAGGCCCGTGAGCCACAACTACTGAGCCTGCGCGTCTGGAGCCTGTGCTCTGCAACAAGAGAGGCCGCAATAGTGAGAGGGGCACGCACCGTGATGAAGAGTGGCCCCCGCCTGCCACAACTGGAGAAAGCCCTCGCACAGAAACGAAGACCCAACACAGCCAAAAATAAATTTTAAAAAAACTTTCATACAGAAGAACAAATGTAAGAGTAATAGAAGTCTTCTTGCTGGAAACTACAATAATATACCACTTAACAGCCACTGGATTGGCAAAATTAAAAAGTCTGAAATTAAGAAGTATTAGAAATGCTATGAAACAAAGGTAGTTCATATAGTGCTGGTAGGGATATGACTGGTACAGCCACTGCAGAATATAACTTGGCATTATCTTATAAAGATGAAGATATCCAGGGGCTTCCCTGGTGGCGCAGTGGTTGGGCGTCCGCCAGCCGATGCAGGGGACATGGGTTCGTGCCGCGGTCCGGGAGGGTCCCGCATGCCGCAGAGCGGCTGGGCCCGGGGGCCATGGCCGCTGGGCCTGCGCGTCCAGAGCCTGTGCTCCGCAGCAGGAGAGGCCACAGCGGTGAGAGGCCCGCGTACCGCAAAAAAAAAAAAAAAAAGATGAAGATATCCATATCACATGACCAAGCAAATCACTCCTAGATAAAGAATGTTCATAGCAGCATTGTTTGCAATAGCAGAAACAAAAACAAACCCCAAACATCCATAAACAGAAGAATGTATAAATTATGGTCTATTCATATAACATAGCAATAAAAATGAATGACTGGGCTTCCCTGGTGGCGCAGTGGTTGGGAGTCCGCCTGCCGATGCAGGGGACACGGGTTCGTGCCCCGGTCCGGGAAGATCCCACATGCCGCAGAGCAGCTGGGCCCGTGAGCCATCGCCGCTGAGCCTGCGCGTCCGGATCCTGTGCTCCGCAACGGGAGAGGCCACAACAGTGACAGGCCCACGTACCGCAAAAAAAAAAAAAAAAGAATGACTTTCCAAAAACACTAAGCTGAAAAAAGCAAGTCACAGAAGTAAACGTACTTTATACCATTGATATAAAATTCAAAAGCATACAAAACATTTCATTTAAGGATACATACATACGTTGTAAAACTATAGTAACAAGAGAATGACAAACACAAAATACAGAATAATAATTATTTGAGAAGGAGAGGGCATTTTAAAATGCCAGTAATATTCATTTCCTAAGCTGGCCAATGGGTACACGGCAGATATTATTCTTTATACCTATATATACACGTTTGTGTATTTTTGTAGGCATGAAATACTTCATTAAAAATAAAGACTGAAAAATATGAAAGACTTTAAAAATGAAGACTACTATTTATGTATAACAATAAAATTAGTGTAAAAAAGTATACAAAGAAAATGTTCAATTCTTTATTTCTTTCAGTGCCCCGTACAATCAGTATTAATCTAAAAGGGCTATAATCCTACTGTGAAAAAAAAATAACAGGCAGTGTCTTTAACTGCTTTGACACAAAATCTGAACGTCTGGTACTCGAAGTTATACAAGAGCAAATATGTTAGCCACTCATGTCTGATTCTTCAACTTTCATCTGTACTTAGATTTTTCTTTATCTTTGGATTTCTTGGGACTCCTGCTTCGTTCTCTCTTTTTACTCCTTTCTCTTTCATAAGGATCTGTCTGGTATTTGGATTTGTGACTATTACTATAGTGGCCATCCCTTTCTCGAGATCGGCTACGACTTCGGTTTTGAGGTCGGTCTCTCTTTTCACTCTTTTGCTTCTCCCAACAACTTTCTTCTTCTTCATAGTGACCAAAGCCCATTTCCCTGTAGATATCCTGTCAAAGGAATAAAGTGAATCAGTAAAATAATCATTTTGTACACACTATCAACAAAACTTAGACAAGTCCTCCATTAGCAAGCAGTTTTTACAGCTCAAATTTGAATGCTACCACTAAGACCAAGAATCTTGTAAGTTAAAACACAAAAATAATTCAGAAAAAGACTTAACCATTTTCTCATCGATCTCATTATTCTGTACTTACTACTTCAGCTGAACTGAAAGATCAGATCCAAAAACAAGGAACTGAAATAGCCCAATTGAAATAAGAAGTCTTTAGGGTGAAATTGCAATACCAAGAATTCTGGTTATGTGCGGTCACATTTCCACCTCCCCCTCTCCACTCCCCAAAAATGTGGTTCCATCACTGATCTGCAATGAAACTACTAAAATCCCCATAAGAATCCTATAAAGAAGACATCATTTAAATAACATAGCCAGAAGACGTTTTAGAAGGTCAATCAGTCTAAAGAGAAGAGAAAACAGATTCTGAATACTTGGGTCTGAGCAATTATTTTTAAAGTATTTTTTTGTGACAGCTCCTCTCTAAATCTCTAAATAAATTTTCTGGTTTAGACTAAGCTGATAAATGTTTTTATTAAAATCATTATTGACATATTTCTTTAAAATGAGTTAAGAAACAATGAAATAATTCATTGCCCCAAAGAGAACAAAGTGGGTACATTTAGTTCTATTCTCAATAACTAAGGAGGAGTAGTAACGTTTCCATATGCAAAAAAGGGCTAGTTACAACACAACAATTCTATCTCCGCTTGTGTCTTATCCCTGATTAAAATGAGTACCTCCACAAGTGGCTGAAATCTAAAGATGCCAGAGCCAATGCTCTTTTAAGAATAGCTCATAAAATTCAACTTTCTTAAAAGATTTCTCAAAGGAAAGGCAAAATTCTAAGGACTGAACTCCCATGTGCCCAACTCTATCACCTTAGACATTATAATAGTAGATGTAAATATCAAGGTTTAAAACCCAAGTGGTGAAAACCCATGGTTAAGGACTGGGCTTTCAGCAAATGATTCACAATTATTCCATATACTATCTAGATACTTGTACATTATGCCTGGCATAGAGATTGCAGTATGTGAAAACAGACCTAACATGATTGTTACATTCCACAGTGTTTGTGGAATACCTCACTATAAACTGATTCATGATTTCCCACACAATACCAATAGTTCTTGTCATTCTATAAGAGTCCTGGAGGTAGAAAATGAGTAGGTAGTTCAGCTTAACCTTTTGTCAACTATTTTCGAGCAAAATGTGACATCCCTAGATAAAAGAATTTTTTGTGTTTCCTGTAACATACACAAAATCTATGTACTATTCTGACTGTACACCTAGTACTTATTTCTGTACTGGTTGAGGCAAGAAACTTTAAATGGAGAGACTGTTTTAGCTGATGTATATAATCCTATAAAGTCTTCAGCACATTATTATACAAACAGGCACTTAAATGCTTTGAGTGTTTAAAATAAGAGAGAGAAAAGATTGTGCAGTATTTAATTCTTTGAAAAAATTGACTAAGCTGAAAATCTGAAATGGACTGAAACCTTAAAAACCTCTCCTACTTGGTACAGTTTTCAAAGCTACACAAGCTTTGAAGTCGGGCAGCTCTAGGTTCAAATGGTCTTTGCCATTTAGACGTGTCAAACAAGAAATGCTCTTGAGGTTAGATTTATCAGTGAAGGTTTCATAGAGAAGTTATAACGGACTTGAGATGAGCCTCAAAGGATGAGTGGGTTAGGGCTTGGAATGGCTTCAAGAAGGCTAATGCAAGGAGTGTTAAGTGAACACTGAAAAGCAAGGAAGAATGAGTACTGTATGTATGAAGGAGAAAAGTTTAGGCAGCTGGATGAAGCCATATTAGAACAGATCTAAGTATGTGCTTGCACAGTGCTAAGTGCTTTTGGAGTACAGTATTATCCTCCTTCCAGATATAAGGAAACTGAGACTCAGGAGATCCCCATAGGTTGGAGATAATTATTTCATTGATCAGTAACTCTACATATAAAATTGAAAAGGGGGTGGTATAGAGTAATGAAAAAAATAATACCACATCCAACTGAATTAAAATAAATGTTAAACTTCCAGTCCTCCCACTAAACTATAAGGCCCATGGGCTTGTGGGGTCAGGATCTTCATATCTAAGGTGAGGGAAACAAATCACATGAGCTCTAAGTCCTTTCCAGTATGGACTTTTAAAAATTCTATTTGTTTTATACATTTAAGACATAAGACAAGATGATTAAACAAACAAGCAGCTGAAAAAAAGAAAGAAAGAAAAAGAACACCATAAAATGTTCAATTTAAGGCACTCAACCGAGCCAATAATTTCACGTTTAGTAGTCAAAAAATTAAAAAATCAACCAAAAACTGTCCTTGCTGAGGTCTCTGGGAGTAAATCAGAGGTTTAGTTACATCTAAATCACTAAAATAATATTAAAAGATTAAAATGACAACAAAAACAGAGTCCCAAATTATAAGAATACTGAACACTTATGAAAACCACAGAGGAGGACAGGCAAGTAGTCTGAGTACTTCTCAGCCAGGCAGCCCACGGCTGAGTACTCATTTCCTGTAACCCCAGTAAAACTCAAACCTCAAGAACACAGTAACCAGCTCTGGAATTAAGACATGTGGTGGAAAAATTAAACAGAGATTTCGAATTGAACAGTAAGGCTGTCATTCAATAAAAAACAAAGCCCTTGAAGAAGTTAAAACATTCTTAGGAAACTAAGCTCACCAAGCAAAACACCACCGAACAGGAAAATCTGAGCTATACCTGAAAATTCCCTACCACTGAAAATTCCCTTTAATGATTATGTTTTTGAGATTAAAATCAAAAGGATAAAAAGCAGAATAACAGAAAAAAACTGGGCCCACTGAAATCTTAAAAATGGATGCTATTTTACTAGGAAGAAGAGAAAATTAGTACAGCTATATTATTAAATCAAAGTACAAAATCAGAAACAATTGCTTTAATACACTTTGAAGGGAGAGATAAAGTTAGAATATTATTGCAGAAAGAGAAAGACATTTGCTACTGCTACTGTAAAGTTTTAAGTAATCAAAGAGGAAGATAAAAAAGATTCACAAAAAGGCAGGGGTGCGAGGGTGGGAACCACAGACTTAAAATGCAGCCAGTCTTTGGAGTTGTTAAAGATGTCTGATTATCTTAAACACACCAATGTGTATTTCGGGCCTAAATTCATCGAGGAATCCATGTACAAGCGCAGGATGAGCAGCTGTAGCTATAAGCAACACATGGTGGGTGGGGGGATTAAGGAGTTTTAGTGGAAAACCTGCTAAATATTCACAGAAGTGTGATACAACCACCATTAAAAAAGATGTTGGGGTGATCTTCGGCTAAATTAATAGAGTATAAAAACTAAGAGGGAGATGTTCCTATTGGATGACACTGGAATATTATACTATGAGACAAATTATATTAGAATTAACAACTGGAGTTAGGAAGGAAAACTGCTGACAGGAATATATTCCAGGTAAGAAGATTTAGAAAAGAAACTGACAGAAATATATTCCAAGTAAGAGGAACAGCAGTAAGGGTACAAGTCCAAATTTAAATTGTGGTTCCATTACTTATTAGCTGTGAAAAACCACTGGCAAGTGGCTGAACCTCTTTATTCTTTACTTTCTTTTCTGTGAATGGAGACAACAGTATCCACCTCGCATTATAAGGACACAGAGACGTTACTATTACCGATTCATGTGAGGATTACTTGAAGGATTGACAAGGATGTAACTTAAAAACTGAGGGCAGGGGGCTTCCCTGGTGGCGCAGTGGTTGAGAGTCCGCCTGCCGATGCACAGGACATGGGTTCGTGCCCCGGTCCGGGAAGATCCCACATGCCGCAGAGCGGCTGGGCCCGTGAGCCATGGCCGCTGAGCCTGCGCGTCCGGAGCCTGTACTCCCCAACGAGAGAGGCCACAACAGTGAGAGACCCGCGTACCGCAAAAAAACGAAACAAAAAAACAAACGGAGGGCAGGGCATAAATGATGGGAATCTTTAAGTAGTAAAAGGTTTATGGAAAAAAGAGAGATTAGATGTCTGCTGGATGACAGCAAGGAGTAGGAAGATCGGCTGTCTAGAAAATAGGGTGCTAAAAATATATATAAAAAATGCGGGGCTTCCCTGGTGGCGCAGTGGTTAAGAATCCGCCTGCCAATGCAGGGGATAAGGGTTCGAGCCCTGGTCCGGGAAGATCCTACATGCCGCGGAGCAACTAAGTCCGTGCGCCACAACTGCTGAGCCTGCATTCTAGAGTCCGCGAGCCACAACTACTGAGCCTACGTGCTGCAACTACTGAAGCCTGCACGCCTAGAGCCCGTGCTCCGCAACACGAGAAGCCACCGCAATGAGAAGCTCCACACCGCAACGAAGAGTAGCCCCCCCTCGCCGCAACTAGAGAAAGCCCGCACGCAGCAACGAAGACCCAACGCAGACAAAAATAAATTAATTTTTAAAAAATGCATTTGCTGACAATTTTTAAAATGAAGAATAAAACACATAAAATGGTTACCTTTGGGGAAAGAAGAAAAGGGGGAAAGGACAGGGATGGAAGCTAGGTTTTCTATACGTACCATTTTGTAGATTTTCCTTTGAACCATACAATTATTATTATTATTTTTTTTTTGCGTTACGCGGGCCTCTCACTGTTGTGGCCTCTCCCGTTGCGGAGCACAGGCTCCGGACGCGCAGGCCCAGCGGCCATGGCTCACGGGCCCAGCTGCTAAGCAGCATGTGGGATCCTCCCGGACCGGGGCACGAACCCGTGTCCCGTGCATTGGCAGGCGGACTCTCAACCACTGCGCCACCAGGGAAGCCCCAATACAATTAATTTTTTAAATTACAAAACAAAAGAAAAAATTTTAAGCTATCCTTAAACATCAAAAAGAACAAGTTAATTTAAATATGAATCCAGTTAATGGCCTTACCAGAGAAATTATTCCAAGTGATTTAAAACACAATGATTTGACTGTAAAAATAACAGTAACAGCCAGTGTAGAAAATGTTTACACACACATTTTTTTTTTCACTTAATTCTAACGTGCCTGGACAATAAATATTATCTCGATTTCACAGAGGAGGAAACTATGGCTCAAAAAACTTAAATAATTTGATGAGGTCGCATCAATGATTAGCAACGTAGAAATCTAAACCCAGCTTTTCTGACAGCAAATCCTTTACTTTGCCAATCACACTACATCTCTCCATCTCAGTGTCTTTGCTTAACATTCTCACAGTCTTGAGTCCCCTCTGCCAACTGAAAGCCTCCTCGTCTACCAGGGCCCAGGTTGAAATGCCCTTACGTGGCAAAAACCATAGCAAGGGAATATAACGTAATCTGCTTTTCAATTAACTGAGAGTCAAAATACAGGCTGGAAATGATTTCTTCTCTTTATAATTAATTTTCTTTGGGGAATTTTTATTATCATTGTTTTAGAAAAAGTATTGTTCAGGAAAGCTTTGGGGATGATCAAGTTAATTATTAGTGCTGCTTTTATTTCATATATACCATATGGAAGGGCATAAACGTTTTTCAGGTCCTAAAACCTCAAGACCTGTAAGTGCTATACATAACACTTGGTGATAAATTAACATGATACATTATAAGAACTTTTTTACCATACCACACTTGTTTTTGATGGGAATAAGTGAGCGTCCACAGGTATGAAAATCACTCTTGCTTCACAATGTGGAACTATACGATATATTAAGTTATTTCAAAAACAATCTTTTATAATCTGTTATATATATTCTTGAAAATTAAAGTTCATTACCCTAGTGAAACCATTCTACATCTTAAGAGTTAGGAACACATCCATCCCTGTTCAGGACTATACCCTTATCTCCTAAATTAAGATGTAATTTACAAATGGATGAAATATTTATTTCTCTACAGCTAAGTCTGAACATCAGTAAGTACCTGATTTGTATTTTTGACTGGCATATAGTCCTCATCTTCTTTTTCTTCGGAGCAGTGGCGGGTTTTCTTCTTGTGTTTCTTACTTGTGTGTGAGTAACCTGACTTTGAGTCTTCTGCCTCCTCATCTAGTATAAGATCATATTTTGCACTGCAGCAGCTAGTTAAGGACAAACATGAGAACTGACACCAGTAATACATCAAAACGTAAGAATCTGGTAAACAAAGTAGGCCATGAGGTTAAAGGTAACTTTTTAAAGCAAGAAACATCTCAGAAGCACAGAGTATATTTCTAAAACAAAACTAATTCATATTTTACTTCATTACAGAGTCAGGAAAAATGGAAAGAACACCTGTCTTTAATAAACGGTTATAAATTGGTAAGTGGGCCAAAAATATAGAGTAAAAAAAAAAATGAAAAATATAAGTAGCATAAAAAACAAGGAAGCATATTTGTCAATAATGAAAAACTTAAACTTAGAAAATGAGGCACATTTTTAACTAGAAAAAATTAAGACATTATAAACCCCAATGCCAGAGAAGCTGTATAGATGAAAAATACACTCATGTGACTCTTCTGAGCGTAAATTATTTCAGTCCTATAGGAGAAAATTTAGCAATGCATACCAATAGTTAGCATGTTTAAATTCAAATAAGAATTTATAAAATAACAGTAAGTTAAATGAACATAAGCACAGCTGTCCCTCATTATCCACAGGGGATTTGTTCCAGGATCCCGACGATACCAAAAGCTGCAGATGCTCAAGTCCTTTATATAAATGGCATAGTGTTTGCATATAACCTACGCACATCCTCCTTTATACTTCAAATCATCTCGTTACTTAAAAACCTGACACAATGTAAATGCTATGTAAACAGCTGTAAATACAACATAAACGCTAGTAAATAGCTGCCTGCGCAGCAAATTGAAGTTCTGCTTTCTGGAACTTTCTGGAATACTTTTCCTGAATATTTTCCATCTACAGTTGGAAATCCATGGATGCGGAACCTGCAGATACAGAGGGCCGACTGTATACGTAACAGGATTTTTTTTTTTAGGATTATTTTTAATACAGAAACTAAGAACAATAAACAGCCTAGTAATAAAGATATACTTAAATACATCAGGGTATTTCAACTGATATATTACTATAAAGGAAGTTATTAACAATGACAAATGAATGCTATTAAATAACCTGGGATGGTGTTTATAAAAAATTAAAAGTGGAAAAAGCCTGAAGCAAAAACTGTATATACCACACAGTGATTATAACTTTATAAAGCTTTATAAAAGATCAAGGCTTGAGAGGAACAAGGAGAAATAAAAAGTATAATTTGCCTAGGTGGTAGAATTATGAGTGAATCATTTTTAAATTTCACATAAATGTTATAAAAATTGTAATAATATGTTTTAATTCAGAAATAAGTGTTTAATATACTATAATGTCTTAGAATAAGAGAAAATGTAAGACTATTAGAACCTCTTCTAAAAAGAATCTTAAACTCTAAAACAGATTCTGAGGAAGGCTGACAAGGACTAGAACAGTGGTTTTCAAAAGAAAGGCTAGGAGGAAGCCCAAAGCGCAGAGCTATTTCAGTGGCGTGTGGGACTAGAGTAACAGTAGACACACTTCCCTCAGGACTAGGGCTTCACCAGGCTACAGCTCTATGCTTCCTCAGCGATGTCTCTCATTCAGTAGGAAAACACTGCAACTTCTGGCTTTTCACAAGACGGCTAACGACAGCTAATCAGCCTGTACCATCCTGTTATTACTCTATTATCTCCAACTTCTTTTCTCCTTTATACCATGTCGCAATGTTTCCATAGTACCTTCTGGATGGTCTCCTTCTCCAGATACAAATTCAATAGTCCTTGCCTATGATTTCACCTCAGTGTTTGCTCTACACATGCTGCTCCCTGTCCAAAGTGCTTCAGAGGCGGCTTCCCTGGTGGCGCAGTGGTTAAGAATTTGCCTGCCAATGCAGGGGACACGGGTTTGAGCCCTGGTCTGGGAAGATTCCACATGCTGCGGAGCAACTAAGCCCGTGCGCCACAACTACTGAGCCCGTGTGCCACAACTACTGAAGCCCGTGCGCCTAGAGCCCACGCTCCACAACAAGAGAAGCCACCGCAATGAGAAGCCCGCGCACCGCAACAAAGAGTAGCCCCCGCTCGCCGCAACTAGAGAAAGCCCGCGCAGAGCAACGAAGACCCAATGTAGCCAAAACTAAATAAATAAATAAATATTTAAAATAATAAACTATTCAAAAAAAGTGCTTCAGAGTGTTTCAAACTACTGATCATAATCCATCAATGAGGTGTAAAATCCAGTTAGTGGGTCACCAAAAGCCAGCATTTTAAAATAACATAGGCTAAAAAAATAAATAAATAAATAAAATAAAATAACATAGACTAGAAAATAGAGTACATGGCATCTAATGAAAATATTATTTTATAACACTGTTGTTTCAATTATGTGTGTGTGTGTGAGAATGATTATATACTTGGACTGTACTGAGTCAAGATGTAAACTGTATTTAATGGATCACAGATAAAGAAAATATTGATAGTATCCCACCTCAGCCCTCCTCTCCCCCCATATTCAAGCTGTAGCTTTAATGTCACTAAGAGTATTACTTGAGGATCCTCTGACCCCTTACCTCTATTATGAGTCCCATATCCCACAAATGTACTTCTCTGCAACACTCTAGACGTATTTAATTAATGGTGATTATTTAATGTCTGTTCTTAATGTCTTTAAGGTCCAGGGGCTACATTTCATTGCGAAACTTCACTGGGCATGTAACAGATGCCAAATAAGTATCGGCTGATTACTTGTAATACCACCAAGACACTTGTTGTATCTCTTCCTTCCTTGCTCATCCACTATCTTCTACTCACCACTACAATCAAGACTTTTAGAAGATGTCAAATCTCTCCAAAATCCTACTTTGTGATCTCCCTGTCCTCTCTTCCCCAATTACTTCCCTGAGGTCTAGTGCAGCCAAGTTAAACTTCTCTCTTCTACTTCTATTTTTGAATCTTCTTATTAATGGTTTAACAGCACCTTCTCTCTCATGACCTATAAAGTACATCCCATGTCTTTCTAATTGGCTTATCTGTACTTAGATTATCATCAGAATCCCCTTTCTTCACCATGGTAATAACGTATGTGAAAATATATATCTATGTGCTACATATGAAGACATATGTTCTGTCCCTCTATAATTGTACATATAATTTGTAGATTACAAATGACTTGCTAAAATGAAACCTATCAGCTACCAGGAATGTAAAGATCATCCTACTGGGTCAGACTCATGAATTCCTTTCTCTTGTTCAGTATGCTGTTTGTGAATAATGAATAGTGGTTTGCACCAGGACATGCCTGTCTTCTCCATCAACTTCAAAAGGTTAAAAGCAGCACTGTTCAATACTAGCCATGGGTAGTGGTTTAAATTTAAATTGATTAAAATTAAACAAGTTTTAAAATCCAGTTCCTCAGTCCATTTCACAAGCTCGATAACCACATGTGGTTAGCAGCCATACTGGACAGTGGAGTTACAGCACATTTCTATCACTGCAGGAAGTCCCGTTAGACAGCACTGGCCTAGAGACTGATTCTCAAACACACCGAGTTCCTTTCTTAACTCTCAGTAGTCTATCATCTTGAATTTAAAACACTTTAATACTAGGTATCCCTCCTTTTCAGCCTGAACACCCGTTATGCGGGGAAGATGCCCCCTCCTACTTCATACTCCACAGCTGACCTTCCTTTCATTTGTCCTACACACTTCCCTTCTTCCAGCTGCAGTTTCTAGTGGTTGGCCTCAATTTAATTTCAAAGATTTGGTGAATAAGCCTCAAGTGTATTCCATCCACACCTTTTATGATTCTAAGATTTCAATCATACCCCCTCTAATGTCCATGTTTTCAGACCAATCTTAGTTTACTGTTTGGTTTGTCTGTATGTGAAAGCCTCTTTTCATGCTGATTATGTCAGTATACTCCAGACTTTATCCAACTCTAACTCCTTACAATGCTCTGTGCATTAGACAACCAACACAATAAAAAATATTTAACAGGTCAACCTGATATTCATCTTTCCTGATGAATACTTGGAAAAAAAATGTCTATATAGTATGGGCAAAGAGAATCCCTAAAACACCAACAGAAACTAGGAAACAAAGAAACTACTTACGAGAAAGAATCACAAAAGAAATAACCTTTGCCATGTATGGAGTGATAGATTTATAACGAGAATATCAATGAACAAACTAAAATGACATAATATGAGAAGTATGTTTCATTGCTTCTTATTTGTCTCAGCCTAAAACTTGAAAGAATCTATAAACTAAAGGGTCAAGTCAATGGATTTCTTTTTAATCCTATAAAAGTCAACTCTTGTACACAATAGGAGCCCAATAAATATTTGTTGCTAGACTGACAATGCATTATGCAGAAAGAAGCAATCTAATAACATAAAACAACAACAGGATTTTGTTATCTACATATTCACCAACTCCAAAGAAGTTAAACATATAAGAAGGGTTAACACAAAGCATTTAGCTTAGCTATAACAAAGAAATTTCTGACTATGAGAAAATTAAAACATTAATATTATATATAGAAAATACAACTCTTACCTGCAGATCTTCTGAGAATAAGAGATAACCTTAACCTAAGTGTAGGGAGGTAAAAGAATTAAGCTCAAAACTTCTTTCAACCTTAACTTTCTCCATACAATAGAGAATATACTGAAAAAGCAAGGTATACATATGTAAAATGGTGAAAAGAGATAACAATAAACTAAGTGATTTCTTCACAAACCATCTGGATTCAGGAACTTGTCTTCTATAGCCTTTTTATAAGGTATCACACTCAACTCTCCAGATTGGATGGTCAGTACGTATTGACCAACTGGTTCTTGTGAAGGATACTCCTGTTTGGGCTTTACTTTATCTTTCAGAACCAAATTACATGGTTTATCCTGTTCCTTTTCATACTCCTTGAAATCACTCTTGGTGTACTTCCCACCTATTTATTTAAAAAAAGAAGAAACAACCTAGTAATAAAATCACCTGATTCATCAAGAACAATAATTATTTTATAAGAGGTATAATATATAAGAACTATTTATAAGTGGCATATATATCAGGGGATAGAAAAAGGCTGAGAAGAAAACAAAAGAATCATAGTAATTCATTCTCCGCCACTATTTTAACTGAAATCAGATATCCATTTTGCTAGGTAGCCAGATGCTGCCCCCTAATGACATACATGAATATTACAACACCAAACTTCCAAATCCTAAATTACGCAGTGAATACAATCACTGGAAAATAATTCAGAGTTCAAGTAGAGCCATTAAGTCTATGAGAACATTAGGCCCAAAGGAAATTGAGAGCTTGGGACCTGTGTCTGAGATCTGAGAGGCTTATAAGCATCAAAGACAAGATGAATCTATTTGGCAATTCCAGAAGCTCTGTAAAGGAAAAGGGCCAGTAGGCAAAGTTTCATATAAATGTGAAACAGACAACCGTAAGAGTTAAAATACTGGTAACTGTAACAAACAGGCATCATTTCATCACTGAAAAATATGTGCCATGTGCCTGCCATTAGAAGTCTCACTACGGATGAAGCAGTTATGGTATATAGTAGAAGGAGCAACAGATCAAAGTGAGAAGTTCTGGATTCAAATATTGACTCCAGTGGGAGGTCCTAGGTAGGACACTTCAATTCTCTGAAAGTCATTCTCTTCATTTAGGAGCTGAAAATAATATCAACATTTCACAATGCTGTTGGAATCATTAAACAAGGCTATAAGGAAAAGTACTTAGCACTGTGAATGGTACACAAGATATGTTCAATTTTTTAAAATGTGAATCCATAATATACAGAATTATCTCAGGAACTTCCCTGGTGGCACAGGGGTTAAGAATCCACCTGCCGGGGCTTCCCTGGTGGCACAGTGGTTGACAGCCCACCTGCCGATGCAGCGGACGCGGGTTCGTGCCCCGGTCCGGGAAGATGCCGCGGAGCGGCTGGGCCCGAGCCATGACCACTGAGCCTGCGCGTCTGAAGCCTGTGCTCCGCAACGGGAGAGGTCACAACCGTGAGAGGCCCGCGTACCGCAACAAACAAACAAACAAACAAAAAAAAGAATCCCTGGTGGTGCAGTGGTTAAGAATCCGCCTGCCAATGCAGGGGACACGGGTTCAAGCCCTGTCTGGGAAGTTTCCACATGGTGCGGAGCAACTAAGCCCGTGCTCAACTAGAGCCTGCGCTCTAGAGCCTGCGAGCCACAACTACTGAGCCCGCGTGCCACAGCTACTGAAGCCCGTGCGCCTAGAGCCCATGCTCAACATGAGAAGCCACTGCAATGAGAAGCCCACGCACCGCATCAAAGAGTAGCCCCCGCTCGCCACAACTAGAGAAAAGCCCGCGCGCAACAAGACCCAACGCAGCCAAAAATAAATAAATAAATTTATTAAAAATAAATAAATAAAAACACTGCATCAGCAATCAAAAACCCATAGTATTTCAGTATACACAGATTCAACCTTAAGTTTGTTATGGTACCACTAGCAGAAATTTGACATATATATGCATATGTGGGATATGTCATTATGTGTAGGGATAGGACCTAGTACACAGAAGATCTTTTAATTTTGTACCATATGACAACTAAAACAAACAAACTTTATAAAAAAGATTTTTTTTTTTTAAATTTGTTTTTGGCTAAGTTGGGTCTTTGTTGACATGCATGGGCTTTCTCTAGTTGTAGCGAGCGGGAGCTACTCTTTGTTGCAGTGCGCAGGCTTCTCAGTGCGGTGGTTTCTCTTCTTGCAGAGCACGGGCTCTAGGCACGCCAGCTTCAGTAGTTGTGGCACACGGGCTTAGCTGCTCCGCAGCATGTGGGATCTTCCCAGACCACGGCTCAAACCCATGTCCCCTGCACTGGCAGGTGGATTCTTAACCACTGCGCCACCAGGGAAGCCCCAGAAAAAAGAATTTTTAAGAGTTTTGCATCTAGAAGAGCCAAACCACCAAATGATAATTACTTTGGAAACATGTTATGTCTGCAATGGGTAATTATAAGTAATTTATAATACAGTCAAACAAAAAATATATTCATCGTCAGTTTAAAATACACATATAATCAGATAGAGAAGGACAGATGTCATATGATATCACTTATATGTGGAATCTAAAAACATAGCGCAAATGAACTTGTTTACAAAACAGAAATAGAGTTACAGATGCAGAAAACAATCTTACGGTTAACAGGGGGATGGGGGAGTGAGATACATGGGGAGACTGGGTTTGACATATACACACTACAATACATAAAATAGATAACTAGTAAGGACCTACTGTATAGCACAGGGAACTCTACTCAATACTCTGTAATGACCGACATGGGAAAAGAATCTAAAAAAGAGTGGATATATGTGTATGTATAACTGAATCACTTTGCTGTGCACCTGAAACTAACACAACATTGTAAATCAACTATACTTCAGTAAAAATTTAAAAATTTTTAAAAATACAAATATACACACTCACACACACATACCCCCATCTTATATACTAGATAGCAGCTAGGTAAAATCAAATAGCAGGAGTTACATCACTGAACATTTCTAATTAACAGCACTGTCAAAAGAGGTACACACACACACACACACACACACACACACACACACACACGATGCAAAGCAGAACAGAAACAAAGGAAGATGAACCAACATACCTTTTCCTTTCCATTTAACCTTTGCAACAGACTGGCTAAAGTCCACATGTATTCTTCTGTCATCTATAAGTACATTGTCCATTTTGAAGAACGCTTTCTCACAATCTTCTTCCTGATAGTAATTATAAAAACTCAAGCATAAATCTTTATGGAAAAGATTTCTGCAGCTAGAACAAATACTGAAAATACAAAAAGTTTCTTGTTACTAAAACTAATATTTGAATATTTACTATGCACCAAATGCTGTTAAATGCTTTGCATCTATTATCTCAATTAACCCTGATAACAACCCTATGAGGTATTACCTATTATTACCTCCATTTTGTCAAAGAGAAAACAGAGGTTTAGAGAGGTACAGAAGTTGCTAAAGGGCACACAGTTGGCAAGGGCGAGAGCCAGGATTTGAACCGAGGCAGTCTGATTGCAGTGCACATACATATACTTACCAACTGTGTTATACAAATCCATAATCCCTTTTACTCAAAACCCAAAAATATCCTGAAAACTGTTTTTATAAATTTGGTGTTAAAATCCATGTGACAGCAAAACCTAATGGAATGATAAACCTTAACTTATTCTACTTAGTATGAATATTCATTTGTTTTCACAGCAGAAGTATTTCTGTGATTACGGAATGCTGACCCAGAAGTGTGCCACGTAATCCAGAGATATGTGTGTTGCGCACACACACACGCACACACACACACAAACATGCAGTATTACATTTCTAAATTCTGAAAAAGTCTGAAATGGGAACAGCTATTCCCAAGGATTTTGGATAATGGATTGTGGGCCTATGATACCAAGGTCTATGTTACATAAGAATCCTTGTCAGTAACTTTGCAAGCCCTACATCCCCATTTCTGACATCTGAAGACTAGAAATGACACATTTCAATCCAGCACTGATCAATTTTCTCCTAGGTCCCTGGAAACTTATTTTTTGGTCTGTTCACAGCTCAACTAGAAACAATCCAAAGAGAAGCAGATAAAAGAACTAGTTATAATCATATTTATTTACAATGTATGTCAAGAATTAAATGGAATATAAACTCCAAGGGACAAAACTTTATTCATCTTTGAATCGACATCATTTAGACCATCATCTGGCACATGGTAGGCAATCAGTGCATGTTTGATAAATCTGACTGATGACCCTTAGGCAGGCATAATTCCATCACTGTGCCATTTCCCCAAAGAGAAAGTTCTCAGATACTTTTTTTCAGGAGGATAGTATTTGCAAATACTCAATTTACTTATACCTAAACAATAGTTAAGGAATCTCTTCAAAATTTAGATTAAACACAACATTGTAAATCAACACTTCAATTAAAAATTATAAAAAACACATATGTAAATGCATGCAAAGGACAAAAATATCCAAGAAAATCTTTAAGAAGAACAAAGTTGGAGGACTCACACTACCAGATATCAAGACATTATAAAGCTATAGTAATTCACACAATTTGAGAGTGGTGCAAGGACAGACAAATAGATGAGTGCAACAGTGCAGCATCCAGAAACAGACTTTACACATGTGGACACCTGATTCATAACAAAGTCGGTACTGAAAAGCTATGCGAATGGGTCAACCTTTTTAACGAATTTCGCTGGGTCACCTGGCTATCTTATGCAAGAAAAATGAAATTTAACACGAAACACATAATATACAAAAATCAAATTTCAGATCTAAATGGGAAAGATAATTTCGCAACAAAGCTTCTAAAGATAGAATAGAGAATATTTTCATGACTTCAGGTAGGCAAACATCTTTAAAAATAGGCAATAAGGAAGAAAAGCTGACAAACTGAACTAAAAATTAGAAATTTCTGCTTATCAAAAGATACCATTAAGAAAGGGAAAAAGGCAATCCACTGAGCAGCAGATACTTGCAACACATACAACCAAAAAAAGAGTTTGTACCCAGGAAGTACAAAGAATTTTTACAAATCAATAAAAAGGCACAAACACCCAATCCCAAAGTGGCCAAGTCTTGAACAGGTACTTCATTTTTATAAAGGACGTTTAAATGTCAATAAACATACGAAAAGGGGCTCAATCAGGAAAATGCAAAATAAAACCACAATAAGATACCACTACACACCCACCAGAGTGGATAACATTTAAAAGACAGACCATACCTAGAGTGGGTAAAGCTACAGAATAATAGGGACTCCCATACATTGCTAGTGGAAGTGAAAATTAGGATAATCCCTTTGGAAAGCTGACTGGAATTATCTCCTGAAGCTACACCTACCCTATGACCCAGCAATTCCCTCTTGGATATATACCCAACAAAAATGCATACATCTGTACACTGAAAGACATGACAGAAATGGTTTAGAGCAGCACCATTCATAGTAGCCAAAACTGGGAAAGACCCAAACGTCCATCAACAGCAGACTGGAAATCTAAATAACGTTATATACACGCAATGAAATACCATATGGCAATGAAAATTTACATACACACAATAAAATACTATATGTCAGTGAAAATTTACACGCACACATAAAATACCGTATTTCCAATGAAAATTAACAAAAAAGTTAAAAGCTACATGCAGTAACGAACAAATCTCACAAATGTTAGTTTAGCACTGAGTAAAAGAAGCTAGACAGCAAAAACACACATTGTGTTTACACTGATATCAAGTTTAAAATTAGACAAAATCTATGATATCAGAAGTAGCAGCAATGGGGAAGTTTGTGGAAGGGGACACAGGTGGGGCCTCTGGGATTCCGGTAACCTTTTTTCTGCTGGTGTTTTATTCCTTGACCCGGGTGGTGATTTACAAGGGTGTATTAACTGTGATTAATTCATCAAGCTGTTCACTCATGAGCTGCACGTTTTCGGCATGTATTTCATTCCTCAGTTTTAAAAACATTTTGATCAGATTATCCAAAGCATAGAGCACTTGCATAACATGCAAGAAAGACTCAGCAATGGACACTTACAAAGAGGCTACCGCTCATGAGAATCATGAAGCAGAATAATATAGCTTAATCTAATTTTCAAGAAAAGAGAAAGGCTACAAAAGATTCACCTCAGGGACTCCCCCGGTGGCACAGTGGTTAAGAATATGCCTGCCAATGCAAGGGACACGGGTTTGATCCCTGGTCCGGGAAGATCCCACATGCCACGGAGCAACTAAGCCTGTGCACCACAACTACTGAACCCGTGTGCCACAACTACTGAAGCCCACGTGCCTAGAGCCCGTGCTCTGCAACAAGAGAAGCCACTGCAATGAGAAGCCCGTGCACCGCAATGAAGAGTAGCCCTCGCTCGCCGCAACTAGAGAAAGCCCGCGCTCAGCAACGAAGACCCAACACAGCCAAAAATAAATAAAAGATTCACCTCAAAAACTGAAATGTTGAATCATGATAAAGAATCCATAGATTCTAGGGCTTCCCTGGTGGCGCAGTGGTTGAGAGTCCGCCTGCCGATGCAGGGGACACAGGTTCGTGCCCCAGTCCGGGAAGATCCCACATGCCGCGGAGCGGCTGGGTCCGTGAGCCATGGCCGCTGGGCCTGCGCGTCCGGAGCCTGTGCTCCGCAACGGGAGAGGCCACAACAGTGAGAGGCCCACGAACCGGGAAAAAAAAAAAAAAAAGAATCCATAGATTCTAGAACCACTCTGTGCTCTACAGTTGACCTGAACTATGTATTCATGGCAAATGGGATACGTGCAGAAGATATTAGTCAATCTGCCATAAACAAAATGAAATTATGTTTGTAAGCAAATAAACAATATAATCTATGCTCAGTGATGGAATAACACTGTCAAGTTGACAAAAAGTATTCATAGCAAACTAAAAGTAGAAATCTCCTTTCTGCTGACACCAATGTACCTTGTAAATATTATTTCTGGTACACCTGACACAGTGTCTAGGTATAATGTGTTATGTGTCTGTCTTCCTCAACCCTCCATTATTCATCTTGTACCCCTAAGGCCTACTGCAGTGCCTGAAATATAAAAGGTGTTCAACAAGTACTTTGGAATAACTATAACTAAGAATGAGCTACTATTGGACATACTTCAGTCCAAAGCTGCAAAAAGAAATAACATAGCCTAGCAAAATGGCTAAACACATTGGGAACAGTATCAGACATATCTAAGTTCAAATCCTAAGAGCAAATACAAGCTTTTTTTTGTTTTGTTTTGTTTTTGCGGTACGCGGGCCTCTCACTGTTGTGGCCTCTCCCGTTGCAGAGCACAGGCTCCAGACGCGCAGGCTCAGAGGCCATGGCTCACGGGCCCAGCCGCTCCATGGCATGTGGGATCTTGCCGGACCGGGGCACGAACCCGTGTCCCCTGCATCAGCAGGCGGACTCTCAACCACTACACCACCAGGGAAGCCCAAGCTTTTGTATTTATTTATCAGGTGAAGAAAAGTGCAAAGAAGAAATAGAATTAATACAAATGTTCCTAGTCACTGTATAAGTCACATTTAAATTTGATGGTTTTTTTAAAAAGAATTACACTAAATTTATGAGTATTAACAACATTTTAAATCTGAACAATTTTATAAATATGGGTGGTAGTTAATATTTGTTACATAAAATGTTAATTGAGTTATTAACTATTTCTTTGAAAATAAAACAGCAGGACAGAAGGCTATGACATTCACTAGGTACATGATTTTAAACAAGTCACGCTACCACTGTGTGTCTCAGTTTACTTATTTGGAGAAGGAGGACAGTACCTATCTCAGAGTTGTGAGGATTAAATGCAGGTCAAATAGCATAATGCTTGCTTAAAGAAAATTACTTGAGTAACATAAGCTATCATTCCTATTATAGATCTAGAAAGTACCCATCTAACCTAATACTCAAGCTTTACTTATAAGGAAGATAATGCCTAGAAAGAAGAATTCTAAATAAACTGCCAAATATCATAGAACAGCTGGTCAGTGGTAGAGCTGAAATTAATATCTAGATCGTAACACCCAGGTTGGTTCTCTTTCTATTACTCAATTATCATATCTACCTAAATAGCACTGAAAAATTATTTATAGAATGCGAAGAACTTTACCTAAAACTTTAAAATTTTAAAGATAAAGATACATTCACGTAGGTTGAAACTGAACCTAAAGTAAAGATACATATATTAACATTGATAGATGTTAAATTTATCCCCTATTTGAATATAACAAAGTTATTTTTCTTGGGTGCCTAAAGAAAGGGCAAACTAATTTTCTAATCTTAGAGACTAGAAAAAGTTCTATACATTTTCACACTTTAATATCATAGAACAAAAAAAATACATATTTAATATATCTATATTATGACCTACTTTTTCAAATTCAATAAAAGCGTAACACAGGGATTCTCCAGTCTTCCAATCCCGGATAACTTCACAACTGAAAAATAGTTCGGAAAAAAGTGACTTTAAAGAAAAAGCATTCACTCTTACTCTTCAAAAGTAAAAAACAAAATAAGCCAAAGTTAAATTCACAGAACTATATTTCTCCAAATCTCTTCAATAATAACTATTTTTTAAAAAATAGTTCACCAGTCTAGAAACTAAATTATCTAGATTCTACTATAAATGCCCTATCTAAGCCTACAATCCTACATTCCCAAAACACTGAAGGAAGAATAAGATAAAAATATTTAATTTTCCTTTGGCAAAGGGAAATTACTGCTAAAAATCCTTTTAAATCGTAATTTATTTGTAGTCCAAATACAGATGAATTACAGATTATCTAATGTAGAATAATGCACACACATTCATACATATACATATGTTTAGTAAACTTACGATTTGGGGTTTTTGAATTTTAATATAAACCAAGCTCAAATGTAATCGCATAAGTCTAGCTATTATACAGAACTAATCCATCTTAACCAAGTGAAAGGGCCAATAAGATGGAATTTAAAGCAACTGGCTTAATCCTTTTTCCTCATATAACTCAATCCTCATTTTAAACACATGAAATGAAACAGGGATATAAAACATTGTGAGAGACAGGAAAAGTAATCACATTATAGCATATGGTTCAGCTGCTACAATATTTAAGTATACATTAAAATGTAAATATTGAACAAAGATCTAACCAAAATTATGATACAACCAAAGTTGTAGGCAGGGAGAATGAAGAGGGCAGGATAGAAATAGACGTGAATCCTCATCTTCCTTAGCAAGAAGTTAGAACATAATGTCTCCAATTTAAAAATAAGAAGTAGCAGTATAGGAAATATTTTTATAAAGATGATATATTATAAGTGAGTAGAGGAATAAAGCCAGGTAGTCTTTTATAGAAAGATTTTTCTTTCAATAGGAAGAATAAGAATGGCTTCATAGAAGAAAAAACATGAAATGAAAGGAAATTCTAAACTTAAAATAATATTTTTTAATCAATTACAAAATATTCCCCTTTCTCACAGAAATACTAGTTTCATAAACTTTTGCATTAACAATACAAGGAAAATTAACCAAAAGAAAAATTTTAGAAAACTTAGATTCAAATTAATTTTGACATAGGTTGCTGGTAATTCTAGGGAGAATTTAAATGAGATAGATATTTATAATATTAAAGAAGAATACTACAGAACTAGACTTAAACTGTTCCATTCACTTCCTGTTTTAGAGTTGAAAATGTCTGTGCTGGGAGTGAGAGAATCATTCAATGTATAATGCATACACACACATTACAATATATATACACACATATATCTACTCATACACATTTACATGCATGTTTTTCTTGCCTACTGTCCAACAGACTCATCTGTAAAACTCACCAGTATAAAATTCACTTTGAGTTCACAGACTCATCAAAAATGTTATTAGAAAACTACTAACTAATACCTAGTTTTTCTAAATCTTTCACTAATTCTAGAGACTACCTTCTTATTGGCCCAAATCTTGAGAATATTATCTCCAGATCTTCATCTGTGGTCACTGGATTCAATTTACACACAAAGAGCACATTTTCTGGAGGTTTAATATCTGCATCAGGTAGATCTCCCACCTAAATGACAAATAAACAAGAATATAAATCAACTCCTTTATTTAATTCGCATTCTAAATATCCCATATTTAGCCCACAATGCTGATTCCCTGAAATATCTAAATTTACATTATAAACTACAGGCTCAGGAAAATAAATCTTAATAGATTTCAAAATTCAAAACTCCATGCTTCCTGGCAGTAACAATATTAATAGCCAAAATATTTACCAGATCCCTACTTTGTGTGAAGACCATGTTTGGCACTTCATATACATTACTGCCAATTCTTAAAACAACCATGCAATTTCCATTTTACTTTTCCATGAGTAAAAATTCAAAAAGGTTAAATAACTAACTTGCCCAGGGTCACACAGTTGTAAGCAACAGAGTTGGGATTTCAACCCAGGTCTACCTGGTTTCAAAGTCCCAATTTTATCTCCACTTTTTCTTTCTTCAAGTATTTAATATATTTTTGAAAGAATTTATGTAAAGTATATCTAAGTTATGAAGCATGAAAATAAAAAGACCCATGATGCCACCAACTAGCTTTAGAACTAAAATGTCCCCTGATCCCATTATCCCTCTGCCTCTCTCACCACGAATGAGCTTTTTGGTTTTCCTTTCTGGCCATTCCCTTACAGATCTTTATAGAGTTCTGACACATAAGTATATACCCCTAAGTAACATACTGTTTAGTTTTACTGGTTTTTAAACTTTTGAAAAATACTGTCATGCTGAATCTAGCCTTCGGCAATAAGTAATGCCCAATTCTTCTCCACATTATTGCTCAGTATGGAACACCAACAATTCCTGGATAGTGTTTCTAGCTTTTTAATCTCACCCTCACTATCATCTTCTACTTCAGTCAAACCAAAGTCAACTTCATGGTCAACTACTGTGCCGAGCCGGGCCTACCACTTCCTACTAAAGAACTAGAGAGGGTGACAGTAAGAGAAAACCATGATATAATGATATGATATAATGATGGTGTTGTTTTCCTTGTGGGAAAAGTATGTTGACCATGAGCCTTTAGATGGGGAAACAATATACCTTCATACATATATTCAAAAACTCTCAGAGATGATTTCAGGTAAGATTACTATATAAAGTGTTTCCTCTTGGATAAACACATTAAAAAAAAGAGAGAAATCTTGGAAATCATAAACAGTAAGAAGCAACTGAGCCAGTAAGATCTGCTCAGTGTCTCTGAAGTCTATCAAAAGATAGCAATAACCTATGCCCAATAAGCAGCATTACAACACATATGGGGAAGAGCAAATCAGTAAAAATCCCAAAAGGCACCTATAATGGCAGAAATACATCTAATGGAAGCACAAATGAGAAAAAAAGTTAATGAGTTAAAAAAGAACTTGTTATACTACTTAGTCAAAGATAACTTTAAAATACTACAAGGAAATTTAAAATATTCATAAGCTATGAAGGTCAAAACAATATTGCAAAACACTAGCTGAATTACCATTACATTATACACAAATAAAGCGAAACTGATGTTCTTAGAAAATAGAGGAAACTTGTTAATTGTGAGAATTGAAAGGACACAGGATCACCTAATGGAACAGCTAAAACCCAAAACACTGACAACACCAAGTGCTAACAAGGATGTAGAACAACAGGAAGTCTCATTCTTGCTGGTGTGAATGCAAAATGGTAATTCAATTTGGAAGAGAATTTGGCCGTTTCTTACAAAGCTAAACCACACAATCCAGCAATTGTGCTCCTAGGTATTTACTCAAATGAGTTAAAAATTATGTCCACACTAAATTCTACACACAAATGTTTATAGCAGCTTTATTCATATTTGCCAAAACTTGGAAGCAACCAAGATATTTAATAGGTGAGTGGATAAACAAACTGTGGTAGACCCATATGAAATATTAAGTAACTATCAAGAGAAATGAGCTATCAAGCCATGAAAAGACATGGAGGAGCCTTAAGTATACGCTGCTAAGTGAAAGAAGCCAATCTGAAAAGGCTACACACTGTATGATTCCAATTATATGACATTCTGGAAAAGGCAAAACTATGCAGACAGTAAAAAAAGATACTGGTTGCCAGGAGTTAGGGGGATGAACAGGTGGAGCACAGAAGACTTTCAAGGCAGTGAAACTATTCTGTACAATACATGGCATTTGTCAACACAAAGAGTGAATCCTAATGTAAATTATGGATTTTAGTTAATAATAATTTATCAATATTGGCTCACCAATTGTAACAAATGTACCACACTAATGGAAGATGCTAATTAAAAAGGTAAACTGTTGGGGAGGGTGAAGGGAGTACATAGGAACTCTCTGTACTTCTTGTTCAATTTTTCTGTAAATCTAAAACTACTCTATAAAATAAATTCTAGGTATTAAAAACAAAACAAGAAAAGGAATCCACAAGTCCATATAGATAATGAATATATGCTAAGTAGAGATAATAAAGGAGTGCTCTTCCTTACAAAAGAAGGCAGGCTGACAAGTGTGGAAAAAAGGGCAGAGTTGGGAAATCACCACTTTGCACCCATCAGAGTCAAGATTGGTTCAAGCAATAGTCACGGATGGCTAAGAAATCCAGAGGGACAGTTTGACAAGGAATAAGATATCTGAAGGTCTCAAAGTGCCTTTCTACAGATGGCTTATTAGTTGCAAGGGGAAAACAGAAACTATGCAGTGGAGTCCCCAGACAATGGATTACCTTGACCAAGTGATCAAAACAAACACTTTCCAATGAGAGGCAGATGGATATTATCCACCTCCAGATGTGACATCTGAGAAGGATACAATGTCACCTATGTAGTACTCTGGCTATGGGTGTATAACCTGAATCTTAATCACAAGGCAACAGCAGGTAAACCTAAATTGAAGAATATTCTACAAAATAAATGACCTGTACTCTTCAAAAATGTTAATGTAATGAAAAATAAGGCAAGTTAAGGAATTCTTCCAGATTAAAGAGATTAGAGCAACATGACAACTAAATGCAACAGATGATTGATCATGAGCTGGATTCTAGACTGGCAGGAAAAAAAAAGCTATGAAGGATATTACTGAAGTAACTGACAAAACTGGAAGGTAGACTGTAATTTCTATCAATTTTAAACTTCATGATTTTGATATCTATACTGTGAATATGTAGGATAATATTGTTGCTCTTAGGAAATACACACTAATGAAAGGGAAAAGATGCCTGCACCGCAATTTCAAATGGTCCCCCCAAAACAGTATGTGCGTATGTGCATGTATAATCAGAGACAGAGAGGGAGAGGAGAGAGAGAGAGAAAATGAACGATCAAAGCAGATGTGGCAAAATGTTAAAAATGGGTGAATCTGGGTAAAAGGTATATAGAAGTTGTCTGCGTTATTTGTAATTTTTCTGTAAATTTGAAATTATCTGAAAATAAAAAGTTTAAAGAATATGTCAACTCCTCTTATTCTGGCATAAACTTTCTATACTTTGTTGATGAAAGCTCTGATGATAAGCTAATGTTCTTTCCCTTATAAATCACTTACTCTTGCTGCCCAGGTGCTCAAAGGATTTTTCTTTTAAGTCCAGTAATTTTCTTAGAATTTATCTTGGTGTTGGCTATTCTGGGTCAATATTCTCAGATAACACAGTGTGCTCATTAAACTGTATATTTTTAATTTTTTTTCAATTCAGTGAAGTTTTCTTGAATTATAATCTTTAGTATTTGTTCCTTCAGACTAGTGATGCTAATACGAATTTTAAAACATAATGAACCTGAAAGCTCTACTATATAAAATAATGATAGTAATAAAAACTTAATTATTATCCATCAATTCCAATATTATTGATCCTACTACGTGAAAGGTATACCTATTCCACAAAAATAAGAAATGGAAAAAATGCCTAGTAGGTCAACTAATCATGTACTGAATAACTGTTCCCCAAATGACTTCATATTGCTAGTAATACAAAAAAGAGTATACTTTACAGTGTTCAATTTCTGCCCAGGTTTTATCCTGTACTTAGTATTTTACTATTTAATCTCAATACTTGAGACGTACAAAGAATTATTCTCTAATACACTTAAAATTCAGTCCAAGAAACTCTTTAAAAATGAGATGAGTATAAACAACTGAAACCCAATTAATATTTGTAAGCTGGATATCCACTTCCCATTTTTTTAAAAAGGCACTTAGCACTATATTAATAGTGGAATCAAATCTGTTTACTTTCATACATGTTATTATGTCATACAAAATTTAATCCAGAAAAAAACTCTTAGCTAAATGTTTTAATATTTTAAAGACTATCAAAAAGTCACAAATAAACTCACAATGAGTATGTATTAAATATATTGCTGAAAAACTATTCGAACAAAGTAATTATCTTACCATTTCTAGTAGAATAGCTTGAGTTTTGGCCTCTTTTTCTGCCTTTATTTCTTCTACTTCTTCAGCCGATCTTCCTTTGAAATCATCAATTTCTTCATCTGCTCCTATTCGACCACTCTGTAAGGCAGAAGTTACTCACATATATATTTAAAGAATAGAAAAATCTAAGAAACATGAGAGACATTATGCTTTATTCTTAGTTCCATCAAATGTGTTAGAACATTTGTTTCACAAATGTGAAACAAACTTACAAACCTCTGAAAACTGATTTAGATGAATTCAATAATACTAGCCAGACTAGGCATCTAATTTATTTTAAAATCAAAATAAACATTTATATAGGAACTACCTGGTAACCACCTAAGTGCTGAATACAGAGGTAAATGATCTTAGAAATTAAGCATTAAATCCCAACTATAAAGATAAATTCAGCTTTGAGGAAGCCTCATATGCAGAAATTTTTACCTCAAAAGATCTGAGGGAAAAAGTCTCCATTATGCCACAGAAATTTCTGGGTTCTAGCCTGGCTCAAAAGTATCCCCAGTTGAAAAGTTCCTTCACAAGCTGATAATTTAATTTAGCCTTAAAGCTACACTCCTATCTAGATTTAAGAGATAAGAGAAATATTTCCCCAAGGTATTCATATAAGCTTCCAGAGCTAAGGAAAGAATATTAGGGAAATAAAAAGATAGGTAGAAAAATGAGTATCTCCCTGGAAGAGAAAAAAGAACTCTAAACCTGTCCTAGTATTACTGATCAAGCAAGATAATCATTCTGAAGAAATAAGTTTTAATAAGGTAAAAAGCAAATTTTATGCAAAACATTAATATGTATATACATTCAATCACAAGAAGACTCTACTTACATCTAGTTGTTCCCTTGTAGGTTCTGGTGATCGATCAGGAATTAATAGATCAGGAGGGTCATCAAATGGATCATCTAAAATCACTGTATGATTTATCCTTACAAAATAAATCCAAGTCAAATGTTACATTTATGTCATTTCAGAATCCATGTTTTACTTTTTATAAAAATTATAACAAATATCTTAAGTATCTCTAACACCAAAAAAAGCCATAAGCTCTTAAATTTTATTGCACAAGGATATTACTAGTGTATACTTTCACAATTAGTGTTACTGTTTTTGATTGTTTGATATTATATATTATACTTATTACTCTGCATTATGCTAAGATGTAATATAAATGACTAAATCCTAGTAATTTTGTCATAGCTCTCAATAATCTGCATTTTTTAAAAGATAAAGGATTAATAATTCCTCCCAACATAAGCATTTATAATTAGTACAAGTATTTTTTTAAATAAAGGTCTTCTCTATTATAAAGATTCTTATAGTCACACATTTTAGAATTGTCCAAAAACCAGTGCTATGTATGCCATCCCCATTACCTGTCAAACATCACATATAAAACATTCTAGTACATTTCAACAGTAAACTATAACCATACCTGATATCTTGATATGGTACAAAGTCCTTATCAACAAAGGTCTCATTAATTTTCTTAATTATGTCCATGCCCTCTGTCACTTCACCAAACACTGTATGAACACCATCAAGGTAATCTAGATTATCTCCTGTTGTAATAAGAAACTATATAGAAAGACATAGAATAAATACAAATATATATATAATTCAAACTGAAATCAGTTACAAAAGACTACATTAATTGCATGAATTCTCACCTACTTGTCACTACTACTAAGTATAAGGCACAAAGCTTAAACATAAAATATCAATAAATACAGATGCTCTGACTGTTTAAAATACTTGAACAAACCAAATCTCAGTTTTTTCACATGTAAACTGTGAGGAAAAAAATGCATCTACTCCAATGGGGCTGTTGTGACAATGAATGAAAGGTGCTCAACATGACCTGTTTTGAAATAAGTGATCAATACTGAAAGGAAACGGGCCACACTGTGAACAGTGATATTCCAGGAATGGTGGGATTGTAGGCAATGTTATTTTCATCTTTGTGCTTTTCTGTATTTTCTAAATTCCTCCCAATGGACATGCTTTACTTTTAAAAGGACAAAATAATAAGGATTTTTTTAACATAGGAAAAAATAGTGTCATTTTTTTCTTCTAACAAATATCTTTGATTGAAATTCTCTCATTACTAGATATTTACAAAGATAATTTTGTGGGTTCCCTAGAGCAAAACTCATCTCCTTACCCATTTCCTTACCTGAGATCCATGCTGATCACTGCCATTGTTCACCATGGACACAGTGCCCTTCTTCTTGTGCTTAATTCTTGGCACTTTTTCAGCATCGAAAAAGCTTGCTTGATCGCCATACAGTTGACTAAAAATACATACAATAAGGTTATAAAATATAAGTATACTCAACATGAAATATAAAACTACTAGGGTTACATATAGGGCGCTAGGGTTAACATATAAGGTTACCATTTGTTTTTGGTTTTTTTCGGCTGTGCACATGGCTTGCGGGATGGAACCCATGCCCCCTGCAGTGGAAGGGCAGAGTCTTAACCACTGGACCGCCAGGGAAGTCCCAGGTTACCATTTCTTTATAGAAATGCCACTATGATTCAAAATATTCCTTTTATTTGCTATAGACATTTATGGAACTCGGGAAAAAAATATATATATATATATATATTTTTTTTTTTTTTTTTTTTT